TCCCCATTGTGCTAATATATGCACAGTGCAAGATCAGAGTCCTAGACATGTTTGTTACTAATAAACATTTTTTAAAAATCCTCTTAGCAAAGTTTTGCAAATATCCTGTTGGCAGACAAGTTTTGTCATCCTGGAAAGGGTGTTAAAAGAGCTCAGACAAAAGGAAACTAGAATGTATATTTTATTGTACTCTAGAAATGTTATATACCAACATACACCATTTGAAAGCCTTCTAGGAGTGTGAGTGTCTTTCACAGTGTGAAATTGACAACAGATTTTCTGTTGCTTTATAAGGTTAATTCCAGGATAACAACATACACTCATAAGAGGATACACATGAGCTGTGGCTGGAGGTAACAGTCATACTGTTCCTACAGAATCCCTGCACTGTCCGATCAGTCAGCTGAATCAGCCTTTGCCTTGTAGTAGGGTGAGTTCCATAAAGGGTAAGATACAGATAGGATACCAACGATGGATGCAAGTGGTGATGTGTAAGGAAAAAGGAGAGGAGCAGGAGGAACAGGCTAATAATTGCAAAACTGTACTGAAGAGACAGGCATCAGCCCATCTCCATGGACCTGGGGTACTGCTGCTTAAAAGGGAATGTAAAAAAGCATATTCATGAAAAATAAAATAGCATACAGCTTCTTGTTCAGGAAGTCGAAGTGCATATCCCACAAGACCCACAGGAAAAGTGGCAGGTCTGCAGTATTTATAGGAGTGATTCTACCATTTTATGGTGCTCCATTATTCAAGACTTCTCCTTTCTTTCCCTGTTGAAAAGTGCCCCTTTGTGATGTGGGCGGGAAGCTATGTGTGTGAGGAAAACTGTCAACTGGCCACCCCTTCCAGTCGTTACTGTAAAAAGCTCTTCACTATTAAGGGAAGAGGGACACCTGGTGGTAGACATAGTAATTTGTAATCAAGGAGTCATGGGCTCTGATTTTCCTCTGACTGCTTCAGTGTAGCTACATTGAGTTGGTAGTGTTACTCCTGACGTATATAGTGGGGGAATCAGCCATGCTTTATAAAAACTGACTGAAGGGAGGGCATGAGAAGCTCTAGGGAAAAAAAGGAAGACGGCAAGGAAGGATCAAGTGAAAAGAACTGGCTAGAGTTAGGGAGTGAAGGGCTGGGAAAACTATGGAAGTGATGAGATAGTAGTAAGGAAATGATGAAATAGAATGGGTGGGAGAAAGAAAGGGGCAGCTGAAGCAATGAAAAGGATGGAAAGAAAATGAAGGCGATGGGGAAAAGTGTCTTATTTTAATAATATGAAAACTGCCAGCACTCTAACTCCTAACTATTGGAAACAGAGAAACCTGGAAACCATCATAGAATGTATTGTGGAGATCACACAATGAGCTATAAATTAGGGGAAATTTAAAGGGCTAAAGGCACTGGACGGGAGGAAAGGTGGCCCAGTGATTAGGGCAGTGTCCTAGACTAGAGAATAATACACCCAGGTTCAATTCCCTGTTCTACCATAGATTTTCCGTGTGTCCTTGAGTTAGTTACCTAGCTTCTGTGTGTCCCATCTGTAAAATAGATGATAACACTCTCCTACCTCACTGGGGTCCTGGAGAACAAATGGGCTCTTCAGGGATAAAAGCACTGCCTGTTGGGATGATGCCCCTATGACCAAGTCAGTCACAGGGTACACTGAAAATGTATTGTGTCCACCCTAATCTACAGGGGGTAGTATTTTCCCCTCAGCCAATCCCCACAGACTGCCAGATACTGGATGGGGGGTATATAAGCATGATCAATATATATTGTAAAAAGATAGAGTGTGTTTATGAGCCGAGCAAAGAAATAACACCACTCGTTAGAATCTGTGACTCTACCATCCAGATCAGGGTTTGGTTTTAGTTGTTTTCTTTTAAGTATGTTTTCCAGAGACACCAATGGAGTGGCTTCCTTTGGTTTTAGATTGTTTTTTGTATCTTTTGGCAGATTGTCAAGTCCTCTAGGGTCCCAAGTTTACATAGAACATCTATAGAGAGAGGGCTTGGAAAACTTCATCTTATGAGAAATGTTTATGGTTTAAAAAATCAGTAAAAGCCCAGTATTTTTTTAAAGATGTGACTGTCCTGTGTCTGCACCCCAAACACTGTAGTGTTTGTCATCCTAGGCTCAAGAACCGGAAGGGGACACTGAATATACCCCGAGGAGCCCAGGTTCACAGCCAGCGTCCATGCTGAGTGAAGACTAACAAGGAAGGAAACAGAAATGATCTTTAAAAGTCCCTTAGATTTAAAGCATTTCATTTCAGTTTCACCGTTTGTGCACTGGCAGGCTGCCACCTTTCAGATCTGAGATACAGTGACATCTCCCCAATCACAGAGCAATTGCTCACAGTGATGGAAAGATGCACAACTGAACTGATTAGGCAATCACTGACACAGACATACATACTTAAGTCATTAATCTAACAAGAGTTAGGCATAGTCATTGATTTGGGGGGATGTAGAACCACTTGAAATTGATTATACTGATTGATTATACAGAGCAATTTCATGTCAGAGCCCTATCCACACCTTCACAGAGGCAGCATTTCTTAAGTCACCCTGAGGACACTTCTAACCACTCTATAGGGTTAGTGAAGATCTGTCCATTTTATTCAATAAACAGCCTTAAAGAAACTATATATAGGAATATTATGTTTTACAAATCAACTTTTCCCACTTACTAAGGCCCGTGAGAGCTGTGGCTGGACTCAGCATTGCCCTAATATAGTATCTATGATAACGTCCCCAAATACAGGATTCCCTCTGGAAGATCTATCACCCTAAAGGTGTCCAACATAAACAGTCTCCTCTTGTCCTCGCCAATATCCTAGACTAATCTGGTTCCACTCAGGTTGGATCTGGTCAGTTCTGCTTCTCCCTCTAAGGAGATCCCAGTCTCCATTTGTGTCCATCCTCATGCCTGGATTACGCTGGTCTGGTTCTGATTCTCAAGACAACTGCCACCTGCTTTGGCTTCTGTATCCTGGGTGATCCTGACCGGGTGCGGCCCCTTGAGTCAATTTCTGGCTTGTCTCCTTGATGCTGCCTTTCTGGTGTGCAAGGTAACAGATTCCAGCACCTAGCCTATCTAGCTATTCATCACGAGCTGTGTCAGGTTCGTTATTTCTAGTGACTTATCACTGTAAACACCAGCCACACCAGCTGGCTCCCATTTGAAGACGCATAGACTCCATCTCCTTGCAGCCCAGTGGGGTTGGGTGGAGGGGAGGAAGGCTTCCTATGGCTGTCACTCTTCCCTACTGAAGTTCACACTCAGAAGTAGTGCTAGAAGGTGACTCGAGCCTGGGGAGGTGAAGAGTCTCCTTCCTCAACCTTGGCCAAGGGGGTGGGTGAAGATGTTCCCCAGGTCTAGAGGGGGATAAAGACCCTGGTGGTAGCAGTGAGAGAGAATGGTGTGATTGTGTGAACTGAGTGAGAAGAGAGAGAGAGAATGCTTTCAGCAGCAGATGCCCCACTGTCTTTAAACCGCTCCCATCTAGCAGCCCATATCTACCCCTTAGCTCCAGTTGGCAGCATGCGTTTAGGAGAGACCCAGGACTCAGAATAGCAACTACGCTGCAGCTTAGCAATGAGGTATATACGTAGAGCTGTGTGGGGAAGCTTGCTCGCTCCTAGCCCACACTGTGTTTTAGCCTTCATGATTTGGCTCTTAATTTCTAACTCACTGAATACAAGGATAAATGGACATGCAATTCCTCTGATACCAACACACGTGGTCTATTTGGTAGGTAATATAGTGACCTCTTCAAAGCCAGTTGTATATATTTTTATTGTAAACAGAAAGGTGCTTTAAAAAAGACCATTTCTTATCTGACTGGAAGGGGAGCTTGAAGGCTGTTGGGATGGGAAAGTCTAAAGCAGACCCCAGTAAGGGTGAAATACTGCACAGGAATTTTTCAGTAGAAAATATAGACGTTTTCCACTAGGTGGTGGAAATCTGCCGTCAACCGTAGCTTTTAAAAAACAGAAAAATTCACTTAATTATGAAGGGCAGCTGAATTAAGATAGAAAATAGCTGTAATAACAGCTTACTATGTATCGATTAAAATGAGTTCTCTGCCTGTAGAAGAGACAATCACAGAAAATTATTCTTAATACTATCCCTGACACAGAGGCACAAATGTCACTTAGGGAGGTTTTCAGATGTTTGAGGAAAGGAAATGAAGGGATAATTTCATCTAAATGAATTCTCTCAGCCTCTGCAGAGGGACTGTCATCTGTAATTTCAGACCATAGCAGCTCAGGAAACAAATCTCTCATGCACTTATTTATCTTCCATTGACAAAATACATATTTTAAATTGGTAGAGTTTGAATTAACATGTCATTTAATAGATCTCCCATAGCCCAAGACTGGCAGGGATGCAAATGTTGCTTTTAGAGGCATCCGGATGGTGGCAGCAAGACTATAAATTATTTAACATACCAAACCACATGTCTGTAAATTAGAGAGCTTTCTGGTATCACTGGCATTATGCACCCACAGCTGCCACTGGAACAGCACTAACAAATCACATGTTGGGGCAATTACAAGAGAGAAGGAGCAGGAGCCCAACGTGCATTACCTGCCACCTGCTTGTACAAGACCAGCAGGAAACCCATGATGCCCTCTCTCCAGTGCTTTTTTTTGCATACCTTACCTGTGAGTCATATGCTATGGCTCATGCTATGTGATGAAAGCGACAACTACGTACAATATGGACCTTTCATAGGTGTTGAGAGCCCACAGCTCCCGACCAACAATTGGTGTTGTGTACATTCAGCACGTCAGAAAATCAAGCCCTGCAGAATGTGAGCATTCTGACTGCATGAATGCTCAGCCTTTAACTCCACCTGCACTCTTAGCAACTGAAGGTCATTCCATATCATAGGAAAGGTAATTTTCCCTAGAACTTCAATAAGGTATTGCACTTGGCTATACCTTAGATGTCCTAATCTATATACAGGCAGACAAAGGTCTGATTGTCTTTTTGGAGTGGGCAATATTGCTAATATTTTAAAGATAATTTATAAAAATAAAGAATTAGTAGAACTCTGTTCATTTCTAAAATGTAACTTACATTCCCTGAATATAAACAATCTTTTTTTCTGACTCATGTAAAAGGGAACAATGTTATCTGCATTATCAGCCTCTTTGATAGCTGCCTAGACAAGGGATTTTTGCTCAGTCTCAGTTCCTCTCAGTCCTCTACATGTACATCACATTTGTTTTAAACTTACTTTCAATGTTGCTATTGACAAGAAGTATACCAATTTAGAATATTGTAATGAACAAGCTACCCTGTGTGCCTTTGCCCTCTGTAAGATGAAATCAGAACTACTCAACTGTGCGTCATAGGCCCCACAGTGCTAACAGCTAATGATGAGTTGCCTTTGCTCTAATGGTGCTTTTGGAACAGGCGGATATGGATTCTATCCCCACTGTGACCATGAAATGCCTAGTGTCCTTGTTGTGCAGCACACTGACTACTATGAAGTTCCAAGTTGACTACAGATTTTTTAAAATATTTAACAAATACTTATGATAATGAGACTTCTTTAAAACATATTTTCTTCATAATTCTCCTTTGTGGCCTTGGTGCTGCTCAGTGGGCAGAGAGACAACTATATTTAGTGGTTAATATGGTTTGTATCCTCAATGGAATTTTTTAAAGTTGAGTTACAGCTGGGTTAAAAAAACACTTTTAGAGCTAGGGAGTGGTCTTGAGCTCAGTTCCATTGAATATGATTAGCTTAAACCTCAGAAGCTGATGCCTGCAGAGGGTTTGTTAAGCCCTTTCTAACTTAGCCCTGGTCTACACTAGGACTTTAGGTCGAATTTAGCAGCGTTAAATCGATGTAAATCTGCACTGGTCCACACACGAAGCCCTTTATTTCGACTTAAAGGGCTCTTAAAATCGATTTCCTTACTCCACCCCTGACAAGTGGATTAGCACTTAAATCGACGTTGCTGGCTCGAATTTGGGGTACTGTGGACACAATTTGATGGTATTGGCCTCCGGGAGCTATCCCAGAGTGCTCCATTATGACCGCTCTGGACAGCACTCTCAACTCAGATGCACTGGCCAGATAGACAGGAAAAGAACTGCGAACTTTTGAATCTCATTTCCTGTTTGGCCAGCGTGGCAAGCTGCAGGTGACCATGAAGAGCTCATCAGCAGAGGTGACCATGATGGAGTCCCAGAATCGCAAAAGAGCTCCAGCATGGACCGAACGGGAGGTACGGGATCTGATCGCTGTTTGGGGAGAGGAATCCGTGCTATCAGAACTCCGTTCCAGTTTTCGAAATGCCAAAAGCTTTGTCAAAATCTCCCAGGGCATGAAGGACAGAGGCTATAACAGGGACCCGAAGCAGTGCCGCGTGAAACTGAAGGAGCTGAGGCAAGCCTACCAGAAAACCAGAGAGGCGAACAGCCGCTCTGGGTCAGAGCCCCAAACATGCCGCTTCTATGATGAGCTGCATGCCATTTTAGGGGGTTCAGCCACCACTACCCCAGCCGTGTTGTTTGACTCCTTCAATGGAGATGGAGGCAATACGGAAGCAGGTTTTGGGGACGAAGAAGATGATGATGAGGAGGAGGTTGTAGATAGCTCACAGCAAGCAAGAGGAGAAACCGGTTTTCCCGACAGCCAGGAACTGTTTCTCACCCTAGACCTGGAGCCAGTACCCCCCGAACCCACCCAAGGCTGCCTCCTGGACCCAGCAGGCGGAGAAGGGACCTCTGGTGAGTGTACCTTTTAAAATACTATACATGGTTTAAAAGCAAGCATGTGAAAGGATTACTTTGCCCTGGCATTTGCGGTTCTCCTAGATGTAGTCCTAAAGCCTTTGCAAAAGGTTTCTGGGGAGGGCAGCCTTATTGCGTCCTTCATGGTAGGACACTTTACCACTCCAGGCCAGTAACACGTACTCGGGAATCATTGTAGAACAAAGCATTGCAGTGTATGTTTGCTGTATGTTTCAAACAACATCCGTTCTTTATCTCTCTGTGTTATCCTCAGGAGAGTGAGATATAATTCATGGTCACCTGGTTGAAATAGAGTGCTTTTCTTCAGGGGACACTCAGAGGAGCCCATTCCTGCTGGGCTGTTTGCCTGTGGCTAAACAGAAATGTTCCCCGCTGTTAGCCACAGGGAGGAGGGAAGGTTGAGGGGGTAGTCACGCGGTGGGAGGAGGCAAAATGCAACCTTGTAAAGAAAGCACATGTGCTATGTATGTAATGTTAACAGCAAGGTTTACCCTGAAAGAGTGTAGCCACTGTTTTATAAAATGTGTCTTTTTAAATACCGCTGTCCCTTTTTTTTTCTCCACCAGCTGCATGTGTTTCAATGATCACAGGATCTTCTCCTTCCCAGAGGCTAGTGAAGCTTAGAAAGAAAAAAAAACGCACTCGCAATGAAATGTTCTCCGAGCTCATGCTGTCCTCCCACACTGACAGAGCACAGATGAATGCGTGGAGGCAAATAATGTCAGACTGCAGGAAAGCACAAAATGACCGGGAGGAGAGGTGGCGGGCTGAAGAGAGTAAGTGGCAGGCTGAAGAGAGTAAGTGGCGGGCTGAAGACAGGGCTGAAGCTCAAATGTGGCGGCAGCATGATGAGAGGAGGCAGGATTCAATGCTGAGGCTGCTTCAGGACCAAACCAGTATGCTCCCGTGTATGGTTGAGCTGCAGCAAAGGCAGCTGGAGCACAGACTGCCACTGCAGCCCCTCTGTAACCAACCGCCCTCCTCCCCAAGTTCCATAGCCTCCACACCCAGATGCCCAAGAACGCGGTGGGGGGGCCTCCGGCCAACCAGCCACTCCACCACAGAGGATTGCCCAAAAAAAAGAAGGCTGTCATTCAATAAATTTTAAAGTTGTAAACTTTTAAAGTGCTGTGCTTAAAGTGCTGTGTGGCATTTTCCTTCCCTCCTCCACCACCCCTCCTGGGCTACCTTGGTAGTCATCCCCCTATTTGTGTGATGAATGAATAAAGAATGCATGAATGTGAAGCAACAATGACTTTATTGCCTCTGCAAGCGGTGATTGAAGGGAGGAGGGGCGGGTGGTTAGCTTACAGGGAAGTAGAGTGAACCAAGGGGCGGGGGGCTTCATCAAGGAGAAACAAACAGAACTTTCACACCGTAGCCTGGCCAGTCATGAAACTGGTTTTCAAAGCTTCTCTGATGCGTACCGCGCCCTCCTGTGCTCTTCTAACCGCCCTGGTGTCTGGCTGCGCGTAACCAGCAGCCAGGCGATTTGCCTCAACCTCCCACCCCGCCATAAACGTCTCCCCCTTACTCTCACAGATATTGTGGAGCACACAGCAAGCAGTAATAACAGTGGGAATATTGGTTTCGCTGAGGTCTAAGCGAGTCAGTAAACTACGCCAGCGCACCTTTAAACGTCCAAATGCACATTCTACCACCATTCTGCACTTGCTCAGCCTGTAGTTGAACAGCTCCTGACTACTGTCCAGGCTGCCTGTGTACGGCTTCATGAGCCATGGCATTAAGGGGTAGGCTGGGTCCCCAAGAATACATATAGGCATTTCAACATCCCCAACAGTTATTTTCTGGTCTGGGAATAAAGTCCCTTCCTGCAGCTTTTGAAACAGACCAGAGTTCCTGAAGATGCGAGCATCATGCACCTTTCCCGGCCATCCCACGTTGATGTTGGTGAAACGTCCCTTGTGATCCACCAGAGCTTGCAGCACTATCGAAAAGTACCCCTTGCGGTTTATGTACTCGGCGGCTTGGTGCTCCGGTGCCAAGATAGGGATATGGGTTCCGTCTATAGCCCCACCACAGTTAGGGAATCCCATTGCAGCAAAGCCATCCACTATGACCTGCACATTTCCCAGGATCACTACCCTTGATATCAGCAGATCTTTGATTACGTGGGCTACTTGCATCACAGCAGCCCCCACAGTAGATTTGCCCACTCCAAATTGATTCCCAACTGACCGGTAGCTGTCTGGCTTTGCAAGCTTCCACAGGGCTATCGCCACTCGCTTCTCAACTGTGAGGGCTGCTCTCATCTTGGTATTCATGCGCCTCAGGGCAGGGGAAAGCAAGTCACAAAGTTCCATGGAAGTGCCCTTACGCATGCGAAAGTTTCGCAGCCACTGGGAATCGTCCCAGACCTGCAACACTATGCGGTCCCACCAGTCTGTGCTTGTTTCTCGAGCCCAGAATCAGTGTTCCACAGCATGAACCTGCCCCATTAGCACCATGATGCATGCATTGGCAGGGTCCATGCTTTCAGTGAAATCTGTGTCCATGTCCTGATCACTCACGTGACCGCGCTGACGTCGCCTCCTCGCCCGGTATCGCTTTGCCAGGTTCTGGTGCTGCATATACTGCTGGATAATGCGTGTGGTGTTTAATGTGCTCCTAATTGCCAAAGTGAGCTGAGCGGCCTCCATGCTTGCCTTGGTATGGCGTCCGCACAGAAAAAAGGTGCGGAACGATTGTCTGCCGTTGCTCTGACGGAGGGAGGGGCGACTGACGACACGGCTTACAGGGTTGGCTTCAGGGAGCTAAAATCAACAAAGGGGGTGTCTTTACATCAAGGAGTATTTCAGGCAGGACTTCACGGAGGTTTCCAATAAGAAATGGTGCACCTAAGTAATTGTTCTTATTGGAACAAGGAGGTTAGCCTGGCCTCTGATTGATACATGGCTAGATTTACCTCGCTGCACCTTCTCTGTGAGTGACTGCAGTGTGACCTAGAGGAATGAGTCCCCTAGACAGGGGAGGAGGCAAATGAGTACAAAACAAATCTGGTCTATTTCTTGTTTTGACCCACTCCATCTATCTTTTACATCTTTGGCTGGCAGCAGACGGTGCAGAAGGACTGCATGCCATCCACATCTCATGGCTGCTCGGCAGAAGATGGTACAGTACGACTGCTAGCCATCCTCATCTCTTGCCTGCCTGGCAGAAGATGGTACAATACGACTACTAGCAATCCTCATCTCTTGCCTGCCTGGCAGAAGATGGTACAGTACGACTGCTAGCAGTCCGTATCGCCTGCCCGCTCACCATAAGATGGTTCAATAGGACTGACTGCAGGACTAAAGAGAATGACCTGGTCAAGTCACTCCAAATTTAGTCCCTGCGCCCATGTCTGCCCAGGCGCTCCCAGACGACGTGGCCAGGAGCACCTCGGACACGACGAGGATGACTACCAGTCATATTGCACCGTCTGCTGCCAGAAGGCAATGGGTTGCTGCTACTGTGTAGCAAAGCCATACCGCGTCTGCCAGCACCCAGGAGACATAGGTGACGGTTACCTGAGCGGGCTCCATGCTTGCCGTGGTATGGCATCTGCACAGGTAACTCAGGAAAAAAGGCGCGAAATGATTGTCTGCCCTTGCTTTCACGGAGGGAGGGAGGGAACGGGGGCCTGACGATACGTACCCAGAACCACCCGCGACAATGTTTTAGCCCCATCAGAGTGCTCCATTGTGACTGCTCTGGACAGCACTCTCAGATGCCCAATTGTTTGCCGTTGCTCTGACGCCAGGAGGGGCGACTGAGGACACGGCTTACAGGGTTGGCTTCAGGGAGCTAAAATCAACAAAGGGGGTGTCTTTACATCAAGGAGTATTTCAGACAGGACTTCACGGAGGGTTCCAATAAGAAATGGTGCATCTAAGTTATCGTTCTTATTGGAACAAGAAGGTTAGCCTGGCCTCTGATTGATACATGGCTAGATTTACCTCGCTGCACCTTCTCTGTGAGTGACTGCAGTGTGACCTAGAAGAATGAGTCCCCTAGACAGGGGAGGGGGGGAAGCAAATGAGTACAAAACAAATCTGGTCTATTTCTTGTTTTGATCCACTCCATCTATCTTTTACATCTTTGGCTGGCAGCTGACGGTGCAGAAGGACTGCATGCCATCCACATCTCATGGCTGCTCGGCAGAAGATGGTGCAATACGACTGCTAGCCATCCTCATCTCTTGCCTGCCTGGCAGAAGATGGTACAATAAGACTGCTGGCAATCCTCATCTCCTGCCTGCCTGGCAGAAGATGGTACAGTACGACTGCTAGCAGTCCGTATCGCCTGCCCGCTCACCATAAGACAGTTCAATAGGACTGACTGCAGGACTAAAGAGAATGACCTGGTCAAGTCACTCCAAATTTAGTCCCTGCGCCCATGTCTGCCCAGGCGCTCCCAGCCGACGTGGCCAGGAGCACCTCGGACATGACGATGATGGCTACCAGTCGTACTGTACCGTCTGCTACCACAAGGCAAGGGGTTGCTGCTACTGTGTAGCAATGCCGTACCGCGTCTGCCAGCATCCAGGAGTCATACGGTGACGGTTACCTGAGCGGGCTCCATGCTTGCTGTGGTATGGCATCTGCACAGGTAACTCAGGAAAAAAGGCGCGAAACGATTGTCTGCCCTTGCTTTCACGGAGGGAGGGAGGGAACGGGGGCCTGACGATATGTACCCAGAACCACCCGCGACAATGTTTTAGCCCCATCAGGCATTGGGATCTCAACCCAGAATTCCAATGGGCAGCGGAGACTGCGGGAACTGTGGGATAGCTACTCACAGTGCAACGCTCCGGAAGTCGACTCTAGCCTCGGTACTATGGAAGCGCTCCGCCGAGTTAATGCACTTAATGCACTTAGAGCATTTTCTGTGGGGACACACACACTCGAATATATAAAACCGATTTCTAAAAAACTGACTTCTATAAATTCGACCTTATTCCGTAGTGTAGACATACCCTTACAAATACAGTCAAATCAAGGCATCTGGTTAGAACTCAGTTGTCCCCTGCCGGTTGCCAGCATGGTAACTAATATACTGTATTGTGTTTATTCTGAAACTAGTATGAAATTCCTCCTGCAAGGCATTTCCACGGGTGTATATATTTGGACAATCACAGATTTAGGTACACTGTATATATTTTGTGGGTACTTGAACTGAATAAGTGATCATTGTTCAATTAATATTTAACCAAGTATGTATATTTAGCTGATCACAAATTCGGATATATGTATTATAGTAACTAATTCAGATCAGACTTTAGATACTCTGGTGACAGGTGCTATAGAAAGCCCTGAGCTAGCTAGTTAGCAATACACAGAGATAGACAGATACACAGATAATGAGTTTATTTTTCTTCTATTAATTAACAGCTTTATATGCGCTTTAGCCTTTTCTGTGCTTTCCCTTGGCTGTTTGGAGTTTTAAACTACAGCAAACAACACTACACCACAAATGTTAATAAGGGAGATAATATTCCCATTTCTATTTGATTTTTGAAGTGTCGTTCAAAACGTTAAGGTTGTTTGAAGAACTGAAGACAGCTTCTTTTTTGTACTAGCAACATAGAAAAGCAGAAACTCTGCATTCCACAGACACTGTTCAAAACCTTCCAGCTATCTATTATTCATTAAGCATTACACCTAATTTTAGGTCTCTCGTTTTACAAAGTTATGCTTCATCCTCAGAAACTCAGTATCATTTATACAAAAGTTATTTTAGTGGCTCCTAATTACACACAATTGTATTCACAATCCAGACCATTTCCTCTCTCTACACAGAGCTCCACCTAGTACAATGTCATTAAAATTCAGAAGTTACTGTATTTTCCTTCAACTTTTTTACCCAGAAACACTCCTGGTGAGATGATATCTTCTTTCCAAATGTTTCCTGTCATGAAGATGCAGTATAACAACACTAAAACATCTCTCTGTCTCTCTCTCTCTCTCTCTTTTTTTTTTTTTTTGGCTGAACTTTAGTTAATGGGTTTAACTGCAGACATGCCTCTTCACTGTGTGATCTCCTCATGTCTCACACACAAAGGAGGCTTCGATTTGGTCAGTCCTTGGAGGGGAGATTTCCAAGGAAAACCCCCAGGCACTTCAGAAAATGGTATTAGTGTTACGCAGGTGGCATTCTTCCCTCTGAAGGCTTGTCTACGTGGGGAGTTATTCCAGAATAGCTATACCTAACTCCCTG